TGTTTTACATAGTCAAAGAAATGGGGTGCAATAGCTTAATTCTCTAATTAAAAAAGGAGGCCTCATGAGACTTTGTATGACGTCAAGTCGCTCCAAACGAATACTATTTTATGGTAAAACGGGGGGAGTTGTGCATTGTAAATAATTTAAATTTTTTTTATATATGTATTACATATTTTTAATTTTAAATTAATAAATGTCACAACAAGATTATATACGTCATTAAAAAAAAAAAAAAAAAAAATATATTTACATAAGTAGGGATATAAATACGAAGTTCTACAGTATAACGTTGCACAACATGCGGCGCAACCATTACAATAAATACAGAAAGATGATCATTGATAATGCAATATTTAGTGCATCACATGACTACCGTTCTAAGTTTGTTCTAATTGGTCAACATTAACCGGGAAATTGATTGGTCAACGATTTACAATCTCACAATATAAAACTTTACACATGAGTGTTTTTAAGCAAGTTGATCCATTAAAGTTATGTTAAAAAGTTTAAAGTTTTATGCTTGTCAAAGTTACATCTTTGTTGTCATTTTTATTAATTTGCTGGTTTTCTTGCTGAATCTGGATGAATTTTTGTTGAAGAAACTCTAATTGTTTAGTTAGTTCTTTTTGGTCTTCAATTTGAAATTCATCTTTGGATAAACTGTGAGATCTAGATTTTTATTATTATTAAGAATTGCAAATATTTATATTAAAAATAATTTTATTCTATGGAAAAAACACACTTTTTTGTTAATGCTTCATCACTAAAAGGGTCAATGGTTGACAATTAAAGGAATTAGTACATTTGTGCAAGTTTAATAACTGTTCCTTTTTTTTAAAAGCTAGAGTATATATTTTTGTAAAAAAAATATAATATGAAAGCTGAGGTTTGAAAGTTTCATTTTATTGTTGAATAAGGTAACCTAGTAGATTTTTGGTGTACTATATGGATAAGTTTTGTGACTTATTTATTTTTAAAATAAATACTAGTAATTTCATAAGGTGACAGTTTTGGTTTCACCAATCCATCTATATGTGTAATCAAGTATTGTCTCCCATTTATTTACTTATTGACTAATTTTTCAGGGTCCTAGATCAACAGTCAATTCTATCAAAAAGGTATTACAGCAATTGGATAATTTTTTAACCTTTGTACATCATGCAATAATATTTTATTTTATTTAAAGCTAGTCAATATTTTATTCTTCATTTATTGATATTAATTAATCTCTATCTATTTCACATTGGTTATTTATTGCATAAATCAATTTTCTTTTTAATTCTGCTTCTTCATTATTTGGTGGAACTATAATACAGTTATGACATGTTCTACCAACTGGATAATAATGTTCTTCTTCAGTTGGAAATGCATCAAGATTAAGCCCTAATACCTCCCATCCACCAATTGGGAATCTTGTGCTACCTGTTGCAAATCTTAATAGTTGCTTACGATCTTTCATGTCCAGATTACTCATAATCCTTAACACCATCATATAGTCCCTATCACTTATTGGTGATTGATTTTTTTTTTGAATGTATTTCTTTAATGTATCTAATTTCCAATCTTCTTTTGTTCTACCACAAAAGAAATATGTAAACTCAGCTGGTGTTGGTGTTAAATATTTAAGATATTTGAATGGAAATAAATGTTCAAATCCTGTTTTATACCAATTTATTTGTCTATTTACACCTTTATTAAAAAAATATTCTATGAAAATATTTTGAAAATTTGCTGCTGTTTTATCTGTTTCCTCCTCAAAATTAATCTCACAAAATGCTGGTGGTGATGGTATATAAAAATCTGGCCATTCATCTGTTGAATTGATCATTTTTAATTGCATGACCAATGGCTCATATAATCCTTCTATTTCATCAATACCATAATCATATTTTACATTTTCATTTAAATCTTTTAATAATAATGTTAAAAAAATTTTGCTCATGTTTAAATCCACTATACAATTATTAAATAAACCAACAGATGTAAGTGCACCCAATAATTTAAAATTATTTAAAAGTTTACTATGCCCATCATTATCAGTATCATTATCTTCATCAAAACCATCACCATCAACATTTTCATTAATTTCTCTCATATCTTCTCCAATTAATGTAGGATATAATCCTGATTTGTAGGGTTGTACATATTCACCTTCATATGCTACTGAACTATTGTTGATCCACATTTTTTTATTTTTCTTGAAAATAAGTTGATAATGAATTTCCTGCACAAGGGTGGTAATTTAATCCTTTCCATGGCTTTGTTTAACATGTTAATGTTAACGCAGTCATAAGCCTTGCTAATGTCTTGACAGAGTATCCATATTTCTTGATTTTTGTTTTTATTATCATGAATAATGTTTTCTAATATATGTATAGGATCGTAACATGAACCACCTGGTAAACCTGCATAATTTCCACCTTTAAGTATTTTTTTTTTTGCTAAGATCATTGATAACCTTTGGTAAACAAGCTTGACTAAACCTTTACGTACTGTTTCAAGTAGAGTTATTGGTTGTGTATTTTTTAGTTGGCCCTCCCATTCTTGTGGTTTGGGTATTGGGTATATTACTGCTTCCCTCCATTCATTTGGAATGTCACCACATTTAAGGCATGCACAAACTAATCTCCATACTGCTTTATTAATATTTTGTCCTGCATATTTAATCATTTCATTTGTGATTTTTGATGGACCAGCAGCCTTATTGTTAGGTAAGCTTTTGACAAGTTTGTACCATTCTTCAAATGTAGGTGGTTGCATTATATATTTATACCATTTGTCATTGATAAAATTTAAAGGTTCATATTGTCTTTTCCACTTTTCATTTATTTATATTTCTTGATTTGGTGGAACCCTGCCAATTTTTTGAAAGTGTTCATTAACTTGGTTTTTAATAGTATTAGAATTGGTTATAAGCTCTAGGCCATCTTTTGTTTCAATAATTATTTTATCCAGGGTTATCTTACGTTTGCTTCTCTCAAGACATGACGAAATAAATTTTCCTTTTTCTAAGTTAAAGTTGTTGCATCTTTTTAATGAGAAAAACTTTATTTGTGCTTCTCTCCACTTATCTTCTTCTATTTGGCATAGAGTGTATAATAATTTATGTATTTGCTTGATATCTTTTTTTATTTGTTTTATGTTTCCATTGTGTATTCTTTCTTGTATTTGAAGTTCTTCAAATTTACCATTATTGATGATATTATTTAAAATCTTTATGTCTTTATTCCATTCAGTCTGAGAAGGTATTTTGTCATTGTAAATTTTTATATTGTTGAATTTAATTAAAATTTTGTTAACCTTCCTGAGATAGCTATAATTTTTGATCAATTCTTTTGATTTAATGTATTTGAATGATTCTGATACCCATCGTTTTGGAATTGTTTTTTCGGCTGTTTTGATGAGAGTATTTCTTACTGCATCCCACATTCTATTCAGATCATGATGACCAGGATTTTCAGGAAATTTAAATTTATTCATTTGAGAGTCTTTCCATAAGTTGTCACTTGTTTCAGCATATTTTAACCAGTCTTCTTCTTTCATGTTGTCAAAAGAAAATACTTGTCTTCTCATTTGTTTCCTTTTTATATTAGCTTCCTTTGTATTAAAAATAATATTATTTTTGTGTAAGTATGTAATGACCATTCTATGGTCAGAAGAATATAGTGGCGATTTCCATGTCTCACAGAAGAAAACTTCATCTAGCATATTATTTGGCATCCATATGAGATCTATCCTACTTGTACTATTGTTGTTCTTCCATGTATAACATTTGTCATCTTCTATGTTTGTATGAATGTCAATATAATTTTTATTTTGTAAAAATTTGATAAAATGGTATTTTCTATCTATTTTTTTATTGTTCATTCTATCTAGTTCTAATTTATCAGGATCTGCATTAAAATCACCAATTATTATATTACTGTAATTATTTTTTTTCCTTCTTCTATTATTGAAATTGTTTCATTTTCAGTTTGTAATCTTTCTTTCCTGTCCCACTCTGTAGACATTGATGAATTTATGTATACATTTATAATTCTAATTTTTTGGTGAGGCAAAAATAAATCTGCATAAATTATTCTACCATTTGATTCTTTGACCTTTTGGACATATATTGATATTGATTTTTTAATCATGAGCCCCACACCAGAGCTAGTTGGACTTTTATCATTTGAACTCCACCACACCTCAAAATCATTATTTTTCAATGCATGTGATGCAACTTTTTTGCTCATTTTAGTTTCTGTTATTCCAACTATATTTATATTTTTTAATTTTAGTGTTTCTAATAATTGTTTTTGTTTAACTGGATTTGATAATCCTTGTATATTTTGAGTTGCTATTGTAATTAATTGTTCATTATCATTATGATTAATTGTTTTATAATTTTCTCTATTAATGTCATTATTGTTGTAAATAATGATATTATTATTGTTATTGTTTTTGCACTCATTATTTATTGTTGATGAGTGTATATATCCTTGGGTGTCATCATCATCAGAAGATGATGAATCTAATATTTCATCTTCTTGATGATTAAGTATTAGCATGGATGTTATTTGATTTAACTTGTCTTCTATTTTTCCCATTTGGTTTGAAACCTCAAGTTGTTTTTGTTTAACACATTCTAACTCATCACTTGATGATGATGATGATGATGATGATGTATTTGGTCGCCTCCTTTTATTATTATTTGAGGAGTCATTTTTATTATTTGTTCTTGTTTGATTTAAAGAGGGAGTGGATTGTTGTGGGATATTTTCATTATTTTTAATATTCAGTGGATTATGAGTGGAATTATTTAAAATTGGTAAGTTGATTCCTGTGGTAGTCTCCATGAATTTTATTTTTTTGTTAATATCATTGATATTTTCATTAATTTGTGTAATATCTTTTTTTAAAGTATTGATTATATCCAGCAATCTATTAAAGTTGTCTTCCCCAATTTTTGTAATTGGTTTAGGAATATTGTTTGTTTGTTTTTTTGTTTGTTGCTTTGCTATATCAGCATATGTTTTTGATTTGGTTTCTTTTGGTTTGAATGGAATATGAAATTTTTTATATAAACCATTGAATTTTTGTTTTTTCATCTGTTTTTCTTTTCTGTCTGCTTTTTCCTCACATTTAGCAGCAAGATGTTCTGGGGATCCACAAATATGGCATGTTTTAGCATTTATAGTAGTCCAAAATAGCTCTTTTTCTCTTAGTGCATAATTTGTGTGCATTGCATTAGCCATCAATTCCTCATTTTCAAATGCTACGTAAGCAATTCTTGTCCTGATATATGAGTTTTTGTTTCTGGCAAAAAAACAAGTTTTTCCACCAACAGCAGTGATAACGTCTTCAAGATCATAAGATGTAGTACCAAAAGGAATATTAGTCAGTTTAAGAACATGACAGTTCCTCTGCTGATAAAACTTTTGATAATCTTTATATGGATAGATTCTCATACTATCTTTAAAATATGAAACTGACCATGTATTCTGTAGTTCAGTTATTGTATTTTCACTTTTAAAAGTTATTAACGCAGTGTACCACATTCCACTAGGTCTCATAGAAATTGTCTCAACTTCTCCAAATTTGTTAAAAATATTTTTAATTATGTCCTTTTTTGCATTTAAAGGGATATCCATAATTTTGATAGTTCTCTGTTGCCAATCTAAATTTTCGTTTCTTTTAATTATTTTTTCAAACTTGTAATCATTATTTTCTAATATATTTTTTAAACAAGCTTTATCTGCAGATTCTTTGTTCTTGAAAGTAGCAACTACTCTCTTCTTTCCAGCAATGAAAATATATTTAACACCAATTATATTACTTGCATCATCAATAATGTGATATACATTTTTAATTTTTTCATCAGGTTTTTTTCCAGGCAAATTTTCTGCCAATATTGAAACTTCATATCGTTTTTTTGATTCTATTTTGACCCATACTTCTTTCTTGTTTGAGGGTACTTCATTTGAATTATCTTCATTGTTATTTGTTTCTTCAGTATCATGACAAGAATTTTCTTTGTTTTCATCTATATCTATATCCATTAGGGGAGTTGAATTTTCATTTATATCTTTATTTACTTTTTTTCCTTTTTTTTTTGTTACCATTGTAAAAAAAATTTTTTTTTTTTTTTTTCGATAATATCACTTATGTAAATATTTACTAGAGATAGTTTTTTTTATTGGATAAAATGTGTAAAAGTCACATTATTTGTAATACCATAAGAGGTATAAACACGCTTACTTGGTTTTAGAATTAGTCATGTACGTGTATGTTGATCAAAATAACAAATTTTTTCTCTTGATTTTTTTAATAGAAAAACGCCACCAAAAGATCAAGCAAAAATGAAAAAAAGACAAAAAGATACATGTCATGAAGTAGGTCAGCTTGGGTAAGTGTTTAAAAAAAGAATGATAGTGGTTATTATTGTCACAACTTGTCATTCTAGTTAGTTATTAAAAAGAATGGTGGTTATTGTTACTCTAGTTTGTTCATATGGTTGACAATTGATCTCTTTTGTATTTACTTTTTAGTAATCTGAAGCATTGTTCATCACAAGGAGGAAAAGAAAATGTTCAACATCAAAGAATTTACTATGATGGTGATGATGACAAACATAAAAATAAAAATATTCTTTTAAAATATTGGACATACATGGCTAGAAAAAAAGAAAGTCCACATCTCTTCACGTATTTATTGTTTGCTGCAAAAAGTTCATTAATTAAATTAAATAATGATTTTGAGAAAGCAAAAGCTTTTTTAGTTGAACTTTATAAGACCAAAGAAATAAATATTTATATTATTTAATTATACAGAGTTGTTTATCATTATCAAAAATTGGAGTAAGTCTCATCTCTTTTGTTAATTATATAAGGCACTAATAAATACAATGAAGAATCAAATGATCCTAATGTACTAGAATTTTGGGATTTAGTTAAAATCACAATGAGCGATTATTCATACATTGAGTATTAATGTTTGTAGACAAACAATCTAAACAATTTGGATATCTGATATTAAAACAATAAACATGGATAATTTATTGAAAAAAAATAGAGCCTTACATAGTTTATCAAAGGTAAAATTTCATTTTGTTTATTTGTTTTATATTGATATATATACAGTATATTAATTAAATATTTAATAATTATTACTATACATGAAGTCAAAATAGGGTTGAAATAAGGTCAAAACTGATTTTTACTATGTAATTGCCTCAAGTCAAAACATTTTGACTTTGGGGTTTTAATTTTGACTTCATGTATAATTATTACAGCTACAATATAAGGAGGATGTTAATCTAGGAACATGAATAATTGCAGGAAATATCACAAATACAAAGCTAATAAAAAATGATCCACTCTTGTCAGGGATTATTGATGTAATATTTTTACAGATTAATATTGTTAGTGAATTAAAGATGGGAAATGTTTTTGATGACGTAAATCAAGGCTTATCTATTGATGATCTTCCAGATGAATTAGAGAGTTCAACAGAGAATACATGAATAAGAATGAATGCTATAACATACCTGAAAAATATTTCGAATCAGAATTTTTTGATTTGTTTATTGCATGCAGGAATTTTGTATCTCATTTCATAGGAATAAAAAAAATAAGAATGCACTCTAAAAATGAAGAAATACTAGAATCCATGTTGTCTCATGATGGAATAAATCCAATCACTTGACTAATATTTTATTATTGTGTCAGCTGAGATTCCTGACAGAGATGGTGATCCATATACATTTGATACTGTCAAACGATCAATGATACATGGTCCTTGTGGTGCTTTTATGCAAAATGCCCCATGTATGAAAAATGGAAGGTGTTCTAAGGGATATCCAAAGCATTTTCAGGAAAGTACTGCTGTAAATAATGATGGGTACCCTATTTACAAGCGAAGAGACAATGGAAAAACAGTAGAAGTGCATGGAGCAACATTAGATAACAGATGGGTTGTTCCGTATAATCCATATCTTTCTACTAGATATGATTGCCATATAAATGTAGAGATTTGTTCATCCATTACTGCAGTAAAGTATCTCTTTAAGTATGTCTATAAAGGACATGATCGTGCTACTGTAGAAATAAGAAGACAAAACCACAAGCAAGAAAGTAATGATGAGATAAGTCTCTACCTTGATGCTCGATATGTTTCAGCATCAGAAGCTTCATGGCGATTATTTCATTATCGATTGCATGATAGAAGTCCAGCTGTTGTACACCTCCAAGTTCATCTTCCAGGACAGCATAGAGTTATATTTCGGGATGATGAATGTTTAGAAAATGTAGTTGAACGTGCCAATTCTGAAAAAACAACACTTACAGCATGGTTCCAAGCTAACACATTATATCCTGAAGCAAGAGAGCTTACTTATGGAAATTTTCCTACTCAGTGGGTTTATAACAGGCAAACCAATAAATGGAGCCCAAGGCAACGTGAAATGTAATTGGGCGTATGTATTTTGTTTCTCCAATGGCAGGCGAGCGATATTATTTAAGAATTTTACTTAATGTAGTTTGTGGTGCTACTTCTTTTGAAAATCTCCGCATTGTCAATGGAGTTTTATATAATACTTTCAAGGAAGCCTGTGCCATTTTAGGATTGCTACAGAATGGTGAAGAATGGGATCAATGTTTAGCAAAAGCTGCTCAGGTACAGACTGGATCACAACTACGTAATTTGTTTGCTACACTACTTCTGTTTTGTGATCCAGTAAGACCTGAGAATCTTTGGGAGAAGTATTTTTATGCTCTTAGTGATGATATGCGATTTCAAGTTCATGATAATGTTGAAAATACTGATATCCACAACCAAGCTTTAACCCATTTGCAATCAATTTTAAATAGGCATGGAAAATGTCTTAAAGATTTTCCTGATATGCCCATACCTGAAGTTCTTTCTGATTGTGATCAAGACAATTATCTAATTTATGAAGAACAAAGCTATAATATTGAAGAGCTTACTCAAACAGTTGAAAATGGAATTCCTCAATTAAATGCAGATCAGAAAGTTGCATTTGAAAAAGTTATAACTGCTGTGGAAAATCAAACCCCTGCTATGTTTTTTATTGATGGTCCAGGTGGAACAGGAAAAACTTTTTTATATAAGTAGCTATATTATTTTTTTATTTTTATTATTTTTGAATTTGTTATTTTACCATTTATTTCATTATCTGTATATATAGTGTTCTACTTGCAAAGATTCGTTTAGATGGACATATTGCTCTGGCAATAGCTTCTTCAGGTATTGCTGCACTTCTTTTACCAGGTGGCCGAACTGCCCACTCCCGATTTAGAATACCTATTAATTTAAATGAAGATTCTACCTGTTCCATCTCTCATGGCTCTGATACAGCCTTACTATTGCAAAGAACAAGTCTTATTGTATGGGATGAAGCTCCAATGATGCATAGATATGCATTTGAAGCTGTAGATCGCACTTTAAAAGACCTCATGAAAGCTGTTGATCCTGATTTGGAAGGAAAACCATTTGGAGGTAAAGTGATAGTATTTGGAGGAGATTTTTGACAAATTCTTCCTGTAGTTGTAAAAGGTGGCCAAGAAGAGATTGTAGGATCCTGTTTGCGTCGGTCCCCTTTGTGGAAACATGTTGAAGTTATGAAACTTAAAATTAATATGTGTCTTCGTTGTACTACACAGTGAAACTCGATTTAACGGATAAGTTTGGCCCAAGAAATTTATCCGTTATATCGAAATATCCGTAAAAACG